TGTGGAGAAGGTGGAGTAATTAGTGAAATACTAACGCAATAGCTAATACTATACTAACTGTGTAGTAAGAGTGTATTTACAAGATAGACGGTTGATCAGAGAATAAATAAGGTTAGCTTCCGGTCAGGTTAAAGGTCAAAGTGGATGACATTCACAGCTACAGTTGATAAGAATTTTATAAATGATAACTATTAAAATAATTACAATTATAGTGAAATTTGTTTAATATATATATATATATATATATATATATATATATATATATATATATATATATATATATATATTAATCTGTTGATTATTTTTTGATTAATCTTTTAATAATCAGATGGCCAAACGTTCCTTAAACCAGGTGAAGCTAAAACTGTCTCTCTTGAGGAGTTCTGGATAGAGCATATTGACAGATGAAAACATTATTTTATCTTAAAAGCAGAATATTTGTATATAATTCCACAATCTTAATATATTCACTGCTCTAAGTTGGTCACTCTATCAGCTAAAGGCAAGTTTTAGAATCTTTTTACTTCATTTAATGATTATTCAATGACTAAATTAGTTGATTATGGTAATAATCGATAAATTACAATTAGTCTGATTAATTGTTTCAGCCCTAGTTTTATAGTATTCTCCTTTGTTGGGTTTCAATGCTGCTGAGTCATGATGTTTTATTCCTAGTTTGTGAAGCAGTTTTCAGGAATTTTAGAGAAGTTTTTCTGGTTTCTTTATTTCTTCAGGAGGGATTTTTTTTTAGTAAATCAGATTTTCAGATTTGCTTCACTTTACTCTTTGAAAACTGCAAACACTTCCTTTATCTGTCTCTTCCATCTAGCTGTCATTTATTCCTTTATTAATTGATTAATTTATATTTATAAAACAAAAACCATAAAAAAGAAAGCAATTATTCTCATGCTGTGCATTTTGTCCTGGTGTTTTGAACTTTTTTATTAGTTTTAGAAAGGGACATTTATTTAAAAAAATAGTTTTTCATTTGGGAAGTTAAGCAACTGAAGTTACTTGTTGACAAACAACATCAGGAATATAAACAATGATCATAACCAATGTTAAGGCCAGATGGGCAGAAGCACAAATATTTATACTGAAGAAAACAGAAACACAGACATGCAAATCTGACTAAATATGTTCAAATTAACAACATAGAAAACATTAAGACTGAGATTTAAATCTAGAAAATAATCAAAAAAATAAGATCATTGTCCAGCATAGGTAAGAGGGAATCCCAGCGTGGTTCTGATTATGGTTTAAACCTCATCATTTTAGCCTCAGTTAACCAGAATTACAAACATGATTCCCTCGCTGCTCCAGGTC